GGAAGCTTCCAGTTTGAAATATGGAAGCTCCATGTAACACATCAATAGCTTCTCCTCTCCAAAATCCAAGAAACTTTTTAAAGGGGGCCTAACCTTTTTAATAGTCATTTGAAGTTATTTCAGGGAAAAGAAAGTCAAAATGCTTATGAAATATACCTCCCATACAGTATAATGCAATAGAAGTTACTGGATTCTAAAAGATAACTCAAACAGTCCAAGCTAGCTGATTTTAAAGTATGCAAAACATATGGCTTCGAGGGCAGTAATCATGATTTTAAATTACAGCACTTTGGGGCTGGCTGATTTGCCTTGATTAATTCTGTTCTCTGAAAAGGAAGGAGAGACTCCAAATATAATTTGCCACCTAATAGCAAAGAAGCCATTAGGCCCAGAGGAGAGAGAACAGGGTCACAGAGGGTCACTTCCATAGCTACCACCAGCTCTCCTGGGAAAGTCACTTTGTCTACCACCCTTGCCTACTTCCACATGGAAGTGGGCTCCAACTTCTGATCACCTAACTTTGAGAAAACTGCTTTGATGGTAACCAGTGTCACTCAGACAGGATGACTATCTAATTCCATCATGTTGAAAAAGTGTCATATAAAATGGGTGTGATTATAATGGCTAACATGAAACAGAAGGGGTGGGAGGCCAGGATGGAAAAGAAGATGAAAGAAGTTAGGCTGCTGAGATAAAAAGAACACTTAAAATTGGGGAAACTTTTCACAATTAGCCTTTGTTTGAAAGTCTCAACATGAATTTAATAGAAGTACTAGAGCTATGGTCAGATTATTTTTCCAGTTAGCCCTGTTCTTATTCCAAGGAGAGGTTAAACTGCAAGAAAAGAAAAGCAGATTGTTACTACGGATGAGATTCTGGCTAAGCTAGAAGAGAAACCAAAACTTTGCTAGCCTAGAAAGCTCCTTAATTGAGTGCCAGAGAATTATGTAATTACCCTGCAGTGTCTGAAGTTAAGATGAAAGTTCTATTTATATTTACCTTTCTCCTGATTAATTGCCTGCCAATGGTATCAGTGTCAAGTGGCTACAGGTGTAACCCTTTGAGTTGGGAGGGACTACATTTTTCCAGCAGCACTGTGTAACCATTTGGTTTCTACTTGCTTCTCTTAAGAGATACAGAAAATTCAAGTTCCAAGCTTCATTTATATATTAGCTTCTGCTTCTAAAAATTTTTAAGCCCATTCTGATTTAATTTATACTTGGCCTAGGACTCAAAATATAACTCTAATTTACAGATGAGGTCCAACAATCTAAACCAGATCAGTTTTGGAAAGACATAAACAAGAATCTGGACATAGATGTGCTTGCTAAGTTGTAGTGGTGTTTACAAAAGCAGTTGGGAACTTGTCATTTGTAATGAGGGGGAGTATATATATATATTGGACTGCAGGAAATAATAAAATTATATCCTGTCTACCCACAGAGTTCAGAGGGTACTACTGAAAGATTATGAGCAGTAGATGGACTCCCTGCACATTAACAAAATTTTAACATTTGACAAATAATTTAGTTTTAGTTGGCAAAATTACTCCAAAACATGTACTTGATGCACAAAGAAAACCACAGAAAGCCTATAGAATTGAAGGAGTACTCAAGTTACAATTCTGAAACATTTATCCTCTGTGGGGTGTTGCCAATGCTACTATTCATCCTAGAGCAGGCAGTTTCCAACACCTTGCCTGCAGGATCCAGTGTATGTTCTGGTCTGCAATTTTTAAGGTCAGTCATGCACCAGTGTGGAAAAAGCTCCAGCAGTGAAGGAAGTCAGAGGAAGTGCTTCTGGAGGTGGTTTGAGCAGCTCTGCTTTCTTCACCACATCTTTCTCCACTCCGCTCTCGGCTCTCCTTTGTACTCACAGAGCCCTTTGGCACCATCAGTGCAAAAATTAGAGTCAAACCTCCAGGTACTAAAAGTTTACTGGCCTTATAATCAGCAGTACCCGTGGCTAATAACAGCCATTGTTCAACTCAGTAGTGATTCAGTTAGATAACCTTCCCAAATCCTACCCGCTCCCAGCCCACCCTTCCTCAGCAACCCCCACCCCTGCCACCATCTGAAGCATCTCCATTTACTTGATTTTACTTCCTGCTCAATCTGCAGGGATAATTTAACACAAGTGCCAAAGTCTAATGAATAATTATAAAAATGAAACAATACCAAGTATAACAAATTTATAGTCAAGAAAATAAAATTTGCTTTCCTCTCCCTCCCAAATCCCAACCCTCAATAGAAAAGAAGACAACAGAAGAAAACACCCATTTTCAAGTGCCTGCTATTTAGTACGTTGAGGATTCCTGTTAATTGGGGGTTGATCCCAGTTACAGAGAAGAGGTGCTTGCCTCAGGTGGGGGCTGTCCACCTACTCTGACCACCTGGGTAGCACTCAGTGCCAGTCCACTGCACATAGGAGCCACGGGCATACCACACCTTTGAGGTGACCCACAGAGAAGCAGCCTATTGGACAGCAGAGGGCATGGAGTACAGTTTAGTGAAGGCAAGATGCTCCCCCACCCTCTTCTCACCTTCTCCATCACTCTCCCCAACCTCCTAATACCCCATTTGAACTCTGCTTCAGGAGCAACTGATCCTTGGGTGTACTAAATACGAAGGGCTAAAACTCTCACTACTCAATTAAAACAAAACATGGCAAAAAGAATTAAAATGTGCTTTCAAATATGGAATGAAGTCAAATAAATACATCTGATTTTTTTTCTTTTTCTTTAAGTCTAAGTAAAATTTCATATCCTACACCCAAAGCTCTATACATTTGGTTTTTGTTCTGAATCAAAATGAATTTCCAATAGTGAGGAGAGCAGAGTGAGAGAATGGATTCCCTCACTGACAGACTAGTGCAGCTGCCACACTGTGAAGAACTAGTCCCGCTATGGGCACCCTGGGACATGGCTAACCCCAGGGGGGTTCACAGGCAGATCCTCTGTCACACACTCTCTGTGTCCACACTGCAGCCAGGATGTGGTGATACAAGGTCGAAGCTCAAAATCCAACAACCTTCAGTCACCTCCAGGACACACGGCTCTAACTTTTATCTGAGAAGAATAAAAACAGGTGAACATCAAATTAAGAACAAAAAAATTAACACTGTAAAGAGAACACCTATGAAATCTAGGGGAGTAGTTGTATCTGTGCTTCTGGATCAGAACAGTCTTATCCAAAAGCATGATGAGTGGAAAATGATGTGCTGAACGCAGATCCATTTGCAGTTACTGTCAAGAGAGACACACAGGACAGCAAGACTTGAGGAGCACCGAGCCTGAAGCACCCCATGACAGCAGCACCAGCAAACCTCACCCAGGATCCAGGGTTTTACCAGGCTTACCACTGCTCTGCCTTCTGCTTTTGCAAAGCTGAAGAAAAACAGAGAAGGGGAGATGGCATGGGAAGTGACAACTGCAGCTCCTCTTAGCCAAGGAAGAGCAGAGTCAGCAGACAACAGACTCTGCTTGATATATGATGTTTGGAAACAAGCAGCTTTTTAAAGACAGAAAAGAAATAGAATCTCAGAAGGCTTTCACTTTAAAGAATAATAAATCATTCCACTCAATGTGCTGTTCAAGCAGGATGATTCTAGAATCTGGAATCTATAATTCTCACCTGAGTGTTTGTCTGTGAGGGCTGATCCAGCCAGCCTTTGGCAAAGAATGGTGTAACTCTCTTCTACTTTCTGTAAAATAAAACCCACAGGTTTTTCACTTGAACATCATAAAAGAAAAAAATTTTTGAAAATAGTGAAAAAGGCTTTTTTATATAATAGGTACATGCTTCGAAATTTCAGTATTAACAGCATTAAAATTTGTGTTACTCGATAAAAAATATTCTATTCCTTTTAGGTAAAACAGGCTTTCTCCTTTGAGTGAATAACTTACAGCTTTCTCATGTAAAAGAGAAAGAAGGGAACACAACAGGTAAAGGTGATTCTCCTTCCCTGAGGAGTTACCCTAAAAACCGTCCTGCATGTGGCATGAACTCTCCTAGAGCCAACATCCCCACAGGATCTTTTAGATCTCTTACCTCATCAGCCACAGGACGAGACTACATGTAATCATGTGAAGAAGGAAAAACCAATCATATAAACTTAAAAGAAAAACTAAGGGAGATCAGTGTTTAGCTAACATGTTAAGAATACTTTTCACTCTCTCCTTAAAGCCTCCAACAAAATGATGCCATGAAAAAACACATGGGCTCTAGCATCTGTGTCTACTGATGGCAGGCAAATACAGAGGCCTTTTCTCAGAAACTGCCACACAAGTCAATTTTGCAACAGTGGTTAGTAGAATGACATTTCCAATTACCAATTTACAAAAATCCCATTATTTCCGGGTTTTTAAATTGTGATGGTGACTGCAGCCAATTTCTACCTGGGAAATCACCACCATCAACTAATAATTCACAGATAATTAATAGATTCTAGCATTTCCCAGCCTAGGTTCATAACTACACAAATCCCACCTTTCACAGCTTATTTTTCACAGCTTCTCATAGAGGACAATCACCCAAAATACATTTAGGCCCTTATACTCAAAAATCCACATTGACACACAGTTTATAGAGAGAGCTATTACTTTTCTGATCATGTGATATGTAACCAGACAGACAATGTTGACCTCGGCTTTTTATCCAGGCCTATTCCTGGATAATGGTCAAAGAAAACATACAAATTCATGACCTAAACAAGCTTATAAGTATCAGCATTTCAATCATTCCACACTTCCTCTCTGCGAAACGTATTTCTAAAAACCAAGTCCTAAGGATACTGAAGTCTGAAGTACCTTTAAGCGTTCAAGGTCAGCCTCTATCTTACGAATGTACTCCATGATCTGGCTTTGTGAATCTGCACAAGAGGAAGGACTCCGGACCTCAAAACAGGAATCCTCCATAGCTCCCCAGTGCTGCTGGACCAGGAATTCTGGGGTGAATGGTGAAACAGCCCCATCAGAATGAGCATTCTTAGGAGAATGTTGGTGCTGGTGGGCAGAGTCCATGGAGGGGATGCCTGCTCTGTGTTGCGGGGGAAGTGAGGAAGCAATCTCCTCATCCGTGGAACTCTCCTGCACTGTTTCATAGCCATCGAGGATCAAAAAGTTTCCTATTGAATAGACAGAACAGTCTGATGAGATCAGTACTGCCACCATCACAAAAAGAGATGACAAGAGATACGGTGAGACAATGACAACTGTAAAAGCTATTAAAGAGAAGAAAACGCTATCACTTTCTAAAACCTCATGTTTAGTTTTGAGTGCATAAGAATTTTCTCTCTTCAGGTTCAAGTTAAACTTAGCAAACTTTTGCAATAATTTCATAACTTTTTGATATTTCAAAAGTTACTTTAACTTAACTGCAGCATCCCTATATGGTCCTTTCTCCACTTCCCCTGCTAAACACCTCTCTTGTCTCATCTCCTACCATATTCTTCTTACCCTGTATTCCTGAACCACACAAAAATATGATCTTGTTGCAGAGCCTGTGTGCTAGTCTTCTCTACTGGAACACGTGGCCTCCAGATATTCATGTATTATCTCCCTCCCTTCCCTCTACTCAAATGCTGCCTCATGGAGGCCCTTTTCTTGGCTACCTTGTCTGCTCCCATTACTCAATGGCCATTAGTCTGACTATTTTCTTCCTAATACTTTAGGATGTCAGATAGTATCTGACATCTATTTATTTGTTTATTTATTTACCATTGTTCTTCCCCTACCTAGTACTTAAGCTCACAAAAAAAAAAAAAGTGAATTTTTCTGAGTTTTATTAAATGTAATACCCAGCACCTAGAATGACCTCTGGCACTGAGTAGATTGAGTAATTATTTACTACATGAAAGAATAAATACCACAAAATACACACACACACACACACACACACACACAATATGCTTGGATACCCAAAAACATCCATTTCAGCACACAGGACAGTTAACAACAATCAAAATCAAAGTTTGAATGTGAAAGGAACTTGCCTGAGATGCGTAAATTAACATCCTTCTCTTCCTTTTTAACTGTTCCATCAACTTCTGATGGATTATCATCACTATGTGCTTCACGGGCATCAAAAAAGTGCTCTCCACTCTCATCAAGACCCCCTTCTGGCTCTGTAGGAGGCATCTCTGGGGTCATAAGCATGTGGTCCATTACTAAAGTGTTACTTGCCTGGCTATCTTGGAATGCCAGTGCTACTGAATCTCGTGGAGCAGAAGATTCAGTTGAAGTCCTTGGACTATAACAAGCTGAAATGTCACCAGTTCCAGTTCTGAAGGGCATCTGTCCTTCACCAGGATGATAGGCCTTAATGTTTTCAGAGTTCTGGGTTTGACTGTCTGCCTGCCCCTCTGGAGAGGCTGTCCTGTGTCTGGGGAAATGTGGCCAGTCTTCCTGAGCACTCTTCTCAGTTAAACCCAGCTGTTGTACCAGCAACTGCTTCAACAAACCCACTAAACGATTTAGGGAGGAAGAAAAAAGAAAGTCATAATTATAACCTCAGATTGCCATAATTAAATTAGTCGAATCACCAATTATCTCTATTATGTACCTTTTTAATAATTTTAGTCAAAATATTAATTTTGTATAACCATTTGTTTTGTTTGAGAAATAAAATAAAACACCATTTAGAGAAGTTTTAACATTAAACTAGACTTGAAAAGACCTAAGGGGGTAATCCTGGTTAGAACTGCTAAATAACCAATACTACAGCTGCCTCTATTTTTTCTTTCATGTGACTAGAATAATACCCAAAGAAACTTAAGGATGCTGAAAAAAGTTGTGGTAAATCAGACCAAAAAACCCCCTGCAAGCTCTGCTCTTTCCAGAAGCAGATGCATATAACATGAAATTCTTTTTTATAATTTTATTACACAGAGAACATTAATTTTATCATTTATAATAATCCACAGAATCTCCCTACATGGTAAAGGAAAAATAAAACTGCACAGTAATAAAATTTAATTCCAATGATTTGATAGCATGTATAATTTCCAAAGATAAAGAAACATTTTATTAGTTTTGAAAAAAAAGACCTTAGTAGCACAGCTTCCTTAGGTTGTTGAAAAGAGAACTGATTTAATTTTGAATAGACAAATGTAAGCTGTGAGGTCACTCACACAATGATAAGAGTTACTGGGATGTTAGTCAAACCATCCAAAATCATGAAGTCTGTTAATTCAACAGAATTTAGAATGATCTAGGTTTTAAAGAACTGGATCAATTCCTTACTTTCAACTCTGCCTTAATTTCTCTCTTCTGTTTCTTAAAGTATACAGTTTCCACACACATCTGAATCCTTGTCCTTCTATATTTTTGCTCTACATTTACTTCTTGATATGCTATACATTTTTTTATGGTTTTGACACTCAAACCCAACTCTCTCCTAAGTTCTAATCTTAAAACTCCCAACTACTGATGTTCTTCATCAGTTATTATTAGGAACATAGAAATCAAAACCAGTGAGACATCATCTCACACCTGTGAGAATAGCTATTTTAAAATACGAAGTGTTGGCAAGAATGCGGAGAAAAGGGAATCCTTGTGCACTGTTGGTGGGAAGTAAACTGGCTCAACCACTATAGAAAGAGGATGAAGAGTCCACAAAAGATCAAGAATAGAAACACCATGTGATTCAGTTATCCTGCTTCTGGTGTTTACCCAAAGAATCTGAAAACACTACCTTGAAAAGATATATGTACTCCTTTGTTTACTGGAGCATTATTTACAATAGCCAAGATTTGGAAACAATGTAAATGCCCATCAACAAATGAATGAATAATGAATATGTACATATACACACACACAGAGGAATCCTATTCAGCCATGAAAAAGCTGAAATCTTTGTGTTGAGCAATCTGATCATAAGCAAGGAAACTGAAAGAGCAATAAAAAAGCTCCCCCAAAACAAAAGCCCCAGTATCAGACTGCTTTACAAATGAAATCTTGCGATGTGTGACAACAGGGGTGGACCTTGAGGGTATTATGCTTAGTGAAATAAGTCAAAAACTTATTTCATAAACTTAGACTGTAATAACAAAATAATGGTTACCAGAAGAGGAGGCGGAAGTAGGGGCAGTAGGTAAATTGGGTAAAAGTGGTCAACTGTACCATGGAGGATGGGAACCAGTCTTCAGGTGGCAGTCAACATAGAGTATGTACATATCTCAAAATAATATGTTGTAGAGCTGAAATCTGTATAATGCTATAAACCAACGTTAACTGAATTAAACAAAAACAAAAACACTCCAACTTCCAGTTCATCACTGCCTTTTAAATGGCTTTCCAACCACTGTATTAATCTCAACATGTTTTAAAATTGAACCTATAATCTCTGGCAAATTAAAAAAAAAGGAAAGAAGACAAGTATGGCAGTGGGCAGTAACAAGAATACTGAAAGTATCTCTAAATATTCCCTTTCCTCTTGCCCTCACATGTAAACAAATCAATTGTTTTAAGTATCTGTTGACTCTTCACTTTATTTTTATGCCACTGACACTATTCTAGTAGAAACCCGTTCAGCCCCAAGCCTAGATTACTACAATAGCTTAACAGTAAACGCACCACTCCAAACCTGTTTCCATTCAAATCCTGTTGCAGCTCTCAGTCAAATTAATCTTTTTTCCTTAGTCATACCCTGGCTTAAAACCTTCAAATAGTTCTCTACAGTTAGAGCAATCATTCTCAGCCCTTTCCCACCTTCAGTACACCTGAGAGATGTGACATACTCATAGTGTTACAAATGGGAATTTGTAACAGTGATACCTCTCCCTCTCTCTCTCTCACCCCCCCCATAATTCTCCCTCCCTCCCACATCCCAGCCCCGAGTGTCATTTGGGAAGGCGAGCCCATTATGGAGAATACTACAACGTCCTCAAGAAAATTAGAGGAATACTTGTAGTTTGAAAAAAACTTCAAATCACTGTGTATCTTTTAAGTATGGAGGACTTAATCTGAGATTTGAGGTTCACACAATGGAGCCCATCAAAACTACTTTCTGACTTCCCAACCTGATTCCCCATGACTCCTTTCACTTTTGTATGAGCTACCACACACCAACTGGTCTACTCCCTGCTATGGGAATATCTTCAGATTTTCTGCCTCTTGTCTGAATGACTTCTATTCTTCTACATATCTAGCTGAATCTTACTCATTCTTGAAGGCACTAGTCACCTCTCTCTCTCATTCTCTTGGGGTCACTCCAACCAGACCAAATTTGACATACCTGTATCATGTGATTACATAAAAAGATGGGAGGTTTTTTATCATCTTCACAAGTAAACGCTAAAACTCTTGATGTGAAGTCACAATTTATATTTCCTTGGATTCTTCCTACATGGTTAGAGTTGTATATTATACAACTCAGGTACTCAATAAGTATCTGTATTAATTTATGAAAAAAACTTACAATTCCTTAGTGCATCCAATGCCCACCGTTCTTCTGAGACAGGCAAATGTGGATCTGGGATTGTGATTTGATAATTTATTCCAACCTCCTTTAGAGTCCCATCTTCATGCGGCGCTTTTGCAAACTGTCTCTCAGTAGCAAAGAGATCATCTACCTCCGATTTTCCAGAGGTGTCCAGTGAATGTGATTGAGGTTTGGATGATATTAAGGGAGACACTAATCCCAAATCTCTCTCTATTCAGTAGAACAGAACAAGTGGAATATATCTTTAAAAAAAGATCTTTTTTAAGTTTTAACATTAAACATTCAGGAAATACTTGGGAAAAAAACAAGCACATGAGCTACAGAGATTATTTAAGGAAAATACACAGAACTTAGAGCACTGTTGTAATGGCAAGAGAAGGCTGATAAGTGAAATTTGTTAGAGCAAATCATGCCACAAACTTCATAAACTTCATAAACTTTTATGAGTAAAAGTGTCTTTGCATTTTAACAACTAATTACAGACTACAGTCTTCTAGGTAAACTTAACAGATCGGTTTACCTGGACTCTGCATACCAGTGACTGAAATACCATGATGTTCCACTTTTAATTTTGGAGGTTCTTCTTCATCATTGTCTCCTCTATGAAAAAAAGAAAAGCTTTCAGCCTCATGAGGTGCCCAACATTTATAATTACTGCAACAGAGAATGAGCCATTTCTTTTCTGACCAAATCACAAAGTCCTTCCTATGACTAGGCAAAAGTACACTCACTCGCAAGGTGATGACTGTGGCAATG